GTGTGTGTGTGTGTGTGTGTGTGTGTGTGTGTGTGTGTGTGTGTGTGTGTGTGTGTGTGTGTGTGTGTGTGTGTGTGTGTGTGTGTGTGTGTGTGTGTGTGTGTGTGTGTGTGTGTGTGTGTTTGCGTGTGTGCGTGTGTTAGTGTATGCCTATATCTCGTGCTGTGTGGAAGAGCTGACAGACACGGATGTTTGCTATCAACTGGTGACCTTGTCTCACATTTAAGCTCAACTTTTATTGGTCTCGCTTCCCCCCGATGCCTACATGGCAAGAGTTAGGACATGACATGTCGCATATACGTCATGGATAGTTTCGTGTAGAACAACTACGAACTTCACAGACGTCAAAACTAGAAACCGTATAAATATAAATAAATAAATATATATATATATCCGTATAACATCCGATTAATCACAGACGGTCAATCGTTACAAAACAACGATTCAAAACGACCTGCAAAAAATGTTCGGCAAATTCACGTACGTGTGAGGGTGCATGCATGTATGCTCGCTGTGCGCGTGTGCTGTGGCGGTGTTAAGCTCTCTATCGTGTTTGCACAACCCCCGGGGATGTATTGCTGTCTCCCTACCCACGATCACCTCGTAATGGGCTTATAAAGTCTCGATTCAGGCACCCCTCGAAGTTTGTCTGGGAAATCTGCCACGTCGCGTTACACCGCAACCGATCGCAGAATGAATGCATTCTACGATCGCCGTTAGATATTGGTCTATTGCTGCACCGTAATCGGGTTGTAGACGTATGTGGTGCTGCCACTGGATATTTGCCGCAGAGAAAGACCCACCATCGTTTAGGCGTGTCCCGCTTTTTACATTTAAACTGTTCGTTTACCCCGTGAATGCGAGATGACGACGGGTGGTCGCTTTAATCTCAGATGTCTGGAGAACAGATCGGAAGTTTTCCCTCGCGGGAGAGCGCGGCCTGATGCGAACGTTGTTGAGCGCCATCTAGAAAGACGATGTTATAGGAGTATACAGAATGCTACGCGATGACGTCCCACCCTCGTAGTCTGCGACCAACTACAAGAAGTGTTGTCAGTAACAAAATTCTTAAGTTAAAATAATACTCGTAAGTGTTATCTTAGCATTAACATTATGACCCTAACTGTACGATGTTTCTGACAAGAGGTACTAGGATTACAGGAGTGTTGAGTGCGTATACGGTCTATTAGCTCTATCTTCTCTCTATCATTACTCTGCAATGATAACTACTGTTGCCAATACCTCTATAGCTATATCATGGAGAAACACTTCTTGTGATTTCATCGTAGAGAGACCGTATCAAAAATGTATTCTGTTATAACCGCATAACCCCATAAAGATTAGTCTTCAAAGTCCAAGGGACTATATCGAGGACGGAGAGAGACAACGTTGGTCGAATGAACAGATCAAAACTGCGGATCGCAGTAGTAAAAGTTTCAATTTTGCAATTAAAGCTTTAATTTAGCAATAAATTTCTGTGAAGACCAAAATGTTCTTTCCCTTCTTAGATTGCGATTAAAGCCGAGTAAAGGGTTGTAAATGTTTTCGACAATGCTGGAGACGGAAATGATCGAAGTAATAGAAAATTTCAACTATAACAGATATTGCAAAGCAAAGAGTGCATGAGTGTGGGTGAATATAGGTCTATAATACATTTTGTCTAAATTTCTAACAGTACTATTTAGTTTCAAAAACTTGCTTCGAGCGCTCGTCCGGGCTGTGACGTAGGTATGACGTGGTCATGACGTATTGTATTGTTCTCGCAGCATTAGTGCCACCATGTCGCTGTGAAATCTAATATCTGCCGTGAACTGACAGCCAATGCATACCGGCAGCTAGCCCCCTGTTGATAAATATTTGCCGTGTGCAAACATCTGTCGGTTTGTAGCGCCTTTCCTTGAGACGGATTAAGCATAAAGCACACACCCGAGCAAAACACCTGAACGTGGAGTAAAACGTGTTTCGCTCGATGTTCGTGGCTGTGTGCGGATTCCCGAAACAAAGAAAACATTGCTCAGCTGAGCGTGTTTCGCTGAACAAGCAATGTTTGATTCGCGAGGCGTATTTTCACATGAGCGTACGTTTTGATCGGGTATGTGCGTCAAACGTTCTGCTACACAGCGAAACGCCACAGACGGTTTCCAATCAATATCCTTAAAAATATCACATAACACACAAAATTGGATGTCCATTGGATGGCTATTTTTGATTTCATGTGACAGCGGCGCTGTACGCAGTGTTTCTGTATATTTTGCTCAGCTGTGTGCTGTGTCGGGTGGCGTGTGTGCGCTTGCTCGCCGAGCAGAACGCGAAACGCTGGAAAACAAAATGTCTCGTTTTGCTCGGGTGTGTGCGCTAGGCTTTAAGATTTCATCCTAATAGCTGTGCGACAAATTAACGTGCAAGACGATGCACCCCCCACCGCCCACCGCCAGTGGCGTAGCTAGGATTTTTTCAGCGAAGGGGCACTGGGGGGGGGGCTTACATTTTCGTGGGGGGGCACAATATATAACTTTTCTTTGTATTATACTGTTCTTACAAATACGTGTGGGTATAGACGATTTGTCATACAGTAAGTACAGTTGTATGCAGTAAAATCCTAGAGGCTACTGTCCCTTTAAACAGTAAAGGTTTATAAATAAAATAAATCAAGTCCAGTTTAACTAAATGTAATGATGAAAGGGGAGTTACGATATCCATCAACGTTGTCTAAAATCCACTGTCATTCATGCAAATCCCAAGAAAAAATGAGGTAGACAAAATGGAAAACATCTAGAGAACACATATTCACGCATTTAATACTCTACACATTACTGTGTTTGTAAGCCGTGCTCGGTGTTTAACCAGACTATTTTAATCGGTTACGTATATTATTGTAATCGTTTTATTCGCCTTCGCCTCGGTATCACGAACACCGATCCCTGGATTAGTCCGCTAGCGAGGACACTAGCGGTGTTATCGCTAATAAGTACGGATTAAACTCACTGGCTCTACGGCATTGTGGTTGATGTTGTCTTAATCTCAGCGCAGGCGGTTGTCTAGACTCGCCGGCTAAACGCTGTTGTTACGGCCCACGCGAGCGGATATTTCGTTAACCGTTCTTCTCTGCTGCTTTACTGAAACAGGATCCGGACGAAGAAGAGAAGAAGAAACGGAAACGACTGAAGCTGAAGCGGAAAACGTTTCTAGAGAAGCGGAAAGCGGTGGCATCATCATCATCATCGTGGGAGGCTGCGCCGCCCTCCTCGCTCGTTCCCTCGTCTGCCACTACAAGCTGACAATAGTAACTCCATCCCTGCCAACTGTCTCTATGCATTCTGCTGTGTAATGTTATAATGTCTGAAATATAATATAAGAATATGATTGATTGGTTCAGTAACTTCTTTTTCTTTTTACGGATCAGTGTTGTTGGCTCTACGTAGGCCCAACCCCCAACGTGGAGGGCCAAGGTGTTACATCAGTCTATTCGTGACCTAGAATTCTTGCCTTCACCTCGGCTGCTTACCGGCGACCTTCTAGTCATTGGTTTAATTTTGGGGTTACATCCTTCTCCTAGAATCTAGATGGTTGCTGACCAAGGCTGATGAGACCCATCCCCCCAACACCCTGAAGGGCCGCCCCCTCGCTAAATTTGGCAAGTCGGTCGAGACCAGTAACCAGGGTATGGCATGTGGAAGCAAAAGCGAATGAGTTGAGAATGTACGGGAGACCAGACAGTGGCAATCACGTTACTACGTGCGACCGCCACCAAAATAAAGGTACTACCCCTCATACATTCCCCATGTACCCCAGATATAAGAATAGTGAATATATGCTGAATATGAGCTGCGTGGGCCTCCTCGCTTGTTCTTGCTACGAGCTGACATGAGTACTCTCCATCCCCGGCAACTGTCTCTATGCATTCTGCTGTGTAATATATATATATATACATGTTATATATATATATATATAATATTATGCCAGCTGGCGTTGTCACGCCGCGTTCTGTTATATAATAATATAACTACATAATAATGATACAATAATAATGATACAATAATAATGATACAATAATAATGACTCTTACGTGCGGCGGAATAATGCGCATGTGAGAATTGCAAGCTAATAAACATGTCTTCACTGTATAATTCCCGGGCGATGCTATTGTTCTGCAATGCGCGCTCTATCGTGCGGAAACCCTGTCGTGCGTCAGAGGTACGCAGGCTCGTTTTGATTTTTCCATAATTTTCGCATTGCCGTCGACGCAACGTGTGAATTAGCATTGTTACTAATGGCGGAAATGTTTAAGTGCCGCCGTGCATTCATTGGCGTACTGGCGAACTTCATAAGTCATTTGATAATTTATTCCAGCAGGCATGTGTTTGCCATTACAGACGCGCGATGTAGTCGATTTGCATAAACTATTAGCAATAAGTCATCGCTGCTGCGTGTGGCGTCATGCGACGTATTTGGCGAGTGGATGAAATTGAGTGAGAAGGAGGAGAGGGAGGTAGACGGCTGTGGTGTGCTTGTCGCTCGTATTGCCTTCGATCGAATTAAAAAGGTGTGTATTGCTACGGCACAATATGGGGTATGATTCTCAGCTTAACTTTTTTTTTCAAAGTAGGCGTATATTTTACTCGAATCTTACTAAATGCGTCAATGGTAGGTTACATGAGAGAGAGAGAGAGAGAGAAAGAGAGAAAGAGAGAGAGAGCAAGAGAGAGAGAAGGGGAGAAAGAAAGTGAGAGAGAGGAAAAGAGAGGGGGAGAGAGAGAGCGAGAGAGGGAGAGAAAAAGAGACAGCGGGAGAGAGAGAGCGAGAGCGAGAGAGAGAGAGAGAGAGCGGATAATTCGTTCACACGTTATTCTTTTTAGAGACAAGTTAACAGCTACTAGACCTCCCGCGGTTTACTGTAACCTAACCGGTTACCCACCTAGGTCGCCTCTCTCTCTCTCTCTCTCTCTCTCTCTCTCTCTCTCTCTCTCTCTCTCTCTC